GGAGTGCCTATGGGCCTATATGTGTCTATAGGTGAGTATGTATGGGGGGGGTGTGTATGTGTGTGTGTGTATGGGCATGCGTATGGGCCTATACGTGTCTATAGGTGAGTTTGGGGGGGGGGGGGGGGGGGGGGGGGGGGGATGCGCGTATGGGTGTTCATATGGGCACATATGTGTCTATAGGTGAGTATGTGAGCGCCTATAGGCCTACACATGTCTATAGGTGAGTACGTATGGGGGGTGTGTATGTGTGTGTGTGTGTATGGGCCTATATGTGTCTATAGGTGAGTATGTATGGGGGGGTGCGTATGCGCGTGTGTGTATGGGAGTGCCTATGGGCCTATACGTGTCTATAGGTGCATGTATATGTGTGTGCATACATGCATGTGCATACAGGAGTGTGTATGTGCATGTATAGGAGTGCATATGGGCCTATACATGTCTATAGGTGCATGTAGATGCATGTGTGTATGTACATGTATAGGAGTGCATATGGGCCTGTACATGTCTATAGGTGCATGTATATGTGTGTGTGTGCATACGTGTGTGTGTGTATGCACGTGTATGGGAGTGACTATAGACCTATAAGGGTGTATAGGTGAGCATATATGTGTGGGTGTGCATATACATGTGTGTACGTGCGTGTATGGGAGCACCTATGGGCACATACGTGTCTATAGGCGAGTATATAAGTGGGTATACATTGTGTGTGTGTGTGTGTATGGGAGTGCACCTGGGCCTATATGTGTCTATAGGTGTGTGTATATGTGTGTGTATACATGTGCATGGGAGCGCCTATGGGCACATATGTGTCTATAGGTGAGTATATATGCGGGTATACATGTGTGCGTGTGCATACGTGTGTGTATGTGCATGTATTGGGAGTGCATATGGGCCTCTATGTGTGTATAGGTGAGTATGTATGCGTGTATATGTGTGTGCGTACATGTGTGTGCATATAGGTGGGTGTATAGGCATGTATGGGAGTGGATATAGGTGGATATGTGTGTATAGGTGAGTATATATGTGTGTGCATGCATGTGTGTATGTATATGCGTGTATGGGAGTGCATATGGGCCTATACGTGTCTATAGGTGAGTATATATGCGTGTGTGCACACATATAGATGTCTGTATGTGTGTATGGGAGTGCATATGGGCACATACATGTGTATAGGTGAATATGTGTGCGCATATGTGTGTGTATAGGCATGTGGGGGAGTGCATATGGGCCTATACATGTGTATAGGTGTGTGTGTATATGGGGGGGTGCATGCATATATGTGTGTATAGATGCGTATGGGAGTGAATATGGGCATCCACGTGTGTATAGGTGGGTATATATGTGTGTATGAGCATATCTGTGTCCTTATATGTGCATATGGGAGTGCATATGGGCACACACATGTGCATATATGTGTGTATATGCATATACAGGAGTGCATATAGGCGTACAGATGTGTATAGGTGAGTATATACGTGTGTATAGATGTATGTATGCATAAAGGTGCGTGCGTATGTGTGTGCACACAGGTCTATATACATATGTACGTGTATATGGGCATATACGTGTACGTATATCCGTGCATATGTACACCTGTGTGTTTATATACCTGTGTACGCCCCTATAGGCACACCTTCAGGGGGGTGGACATATACACGTGTGTATGTATATATATGGGTTTGCATCTGCAGGGGTGTACGCATGCGTGTGCCCCTATACGTACACCCCAAGGGGTATCTTTGTGCATACGTGTGCATATATGTCTATAGGTGTCTACAGGTGTATATAGGCGTTTATAGGCCTCTACAGGTGTCTATAGGTGTCTACAGGTGTATATAGGCATCTATAGGTGTCTACAGGCATCTATAGGCATCTACAGTCATCTATAGGCATCTATAGGTGTATATAGATGTCTATAGGCGTCTATAGGTGTATATAGATGTCTGTAGTTGTCTACAGGCATCTACAGGTGTCTATAGGCGTCTACAGGCGTCTATAGGTGTTCATAGGTGTCTACAGATGTATATAGGCATCTACAGGTATCTACAGGCATCTATAGGCGTCTACAGGCCTCTACAGGTGTCTATAGGTGTATATAGACGTCTATAGGCATCTGCAGGTGTCTATAGGTCTCTATAGGTGCCTATATGTGTCTATAGGCCCCATTTCAGCCTCTAGCAGCCTCATCGCCCCCCTTTCCCCGCAGACCTCGGGCTCGCCCCCCCCGAGCACCCCCAAACCCCACTCGGGACCGAAACTTCCAGGTGGTGGGGGAGGAATTTTATAAACGGGGTCGAATGAG